AAAACTGTCCTACATGAAGGAACTCTATGGTTGAGACCCCAGTGGAAAGTGGTCAAAGAAGGGCATACTTTTCTCTGAAGGGAGGAGAGAACTTTCATTTTGCTGACAAACTTATCTAAATACTGATGGAGTTTGTGGATTCAAAAGGGTTCCATAGCCTAGGCATCTCATGTCAAGAGCCTCAGATGATATTGAAGTCATCCATAAGAGTGTTAAATATTAAATTAACAACAGGAGTCACTGTGCCCTAACTTCCCATGCAGGACTTCTGCACTCAAAGAGTTGTGCTAGGAGAGTTAGTAATAAATTTGTTTTTAAAGATTTATTCCATTTTAGTGTATTAAGTGGGGGATATACTTATATCTCATAAATTTTAGTTAGGCCAAAGTATCCAACTACATTGCTTGTTTTCTTAGGTGCTTCTTCAATTAATGACAAAGACTTACTTTCCTTTAACGTGAAGGATACTCTTATGTCTCATAAACTAGTTTAAATGCTTACAAAAGATGAATCACTCTTGGGTGCTTCTTTAAAATTAAGTTTCTCAAAAAAAAAAAAAAGGCCAATTAACTTCAAGATGCAATGACTTTGAACAGCCCTGTCTCAACTGTTGAAAAACAGCTTCATTTTTTAATTTTTATTTTTACTTTGTCTTGCAAATTTATGACTCTTTACTTACTATAGACATAATCTTCTATGCATAAAGTTAATTGAAAATAGATCTTAGTATAAAATAAAACTGGGAATAAGAGAGGGAGGTAGAAGAGGGGTGGGAATGGGTATGAGAGGGCGGCACAGTGGGAAGAATCACTGTAGTCCTAAAATTGTACTTAAATACATGAAGTTTGTATTAACTAAAAAAAGATAATAATATTAATAAAATGCAAATCATTAGCAATTCAAAAAAAAAGAAAATCCCTATCCCATAACAATGATATTATCAGGTGCTGGCACTGTGGTGCAGTGGGTTAAAGCCCTGGCCTGAAGCACTGGCATCCCATGTGGGCACCGGTTCTAGTCCCAGCTGCTCTTCTTCCTATCCTACTCTCTGTTATTGCCTGGGAAAGCAGTAGAGAATGGCCAAAGTCCTTGGGCCATCTAGGGAGTGAACCAGCAGATGTAAGATTTCTCTTTCTGTCTCTACTCTCTGTAACTCTGTCTTTCAAGTAAATAAAATAAATCTAAAAAATGATATTATCAATCAATACATAAGGGTAGATCTATGAACAATACAACTTCATGTTTCTTATGGAAAATTCTATATTTTCTAAGTGTGAAAATTATTCTTAAATGATATCAGTGTTTCCTTTGGAAAATGATGGAAAATGACTTATACATCCATTTTTAATTAGTGCAGCCACAATCTCCAGGGCATAGTGGAACAACCTGGTTGCCTCCTCTGTACTTTGTTTTATTATATTAACCTTATGTGCCTCATTGATTTATACTGATAATAAGATCATCAATGTGAAGCTGTCTACCTTGTACCTTGCACACATAAACAGTATCCATTTGTTCTTTATTTTTCTACATCAGAATAAGGGAGGTGGGGCTAAATTATTATTTCATTTGTCCAAGTATGATGCTGCATGGAATTCTCTGGCTGGGCTATCTTTCTGAGGCTTGACTTAGCATACATCTATGATACCCGAGAAGCTATCAGTCAAGACAAGAGCTATTAACACAAAACACTGAATTGGAAAGCAGACAGATGTTATCAGAGACAAGGTACATGGATCTTGTCAAAATTACATCTAGTTGGTTCTTGCCAGGGCAGTTAGGTAAGAAAATAAATAAGATACATCCAGACTGGAAAGGAAGAAGTAAAAGAAGTAAAGCCATCTTGATTGGTTGATGTCATAATCTTGAATATAGGTAATTCTAAGGAATACACTAACAAAACTATTAAAACTAATGAAAAAAGTTCCAAGATTGCAGGAGGTAAGATCAACACACACAAGCTAATCTATTTATAATAGCATTGGAATATCAAAAAAGTAAGATCTTACAACAGATATCAAAATCATTAAAACCTTAGAAATTAAATTTAACAAAAGATAAAAGAATCATACACTGAAAACTACAAGATATCATTAAAAGTACATTAAACAGAAATATCCCATATTAAAATAATGACTTAATATTGTTAAGATGACAATACTTCCCAAATTGATCTATAGATACATTGTAATCCTTGTCAAAATTTCAGCTTGCAGAGCCACTGCTGTGGTATAGTAGGCTGAGCATCCACCTGTGGCTCTAGCAACCCATATGGATGCCAGTTCAAGTCCTGGCTGCTCCATTTCCAATCCAGCTCCATGTTAATGGCCTGAGAAAGCAGTAGAGGATGGCCCACGTGCTTGGGCCCTTACACCTGCATGGGAGACCTGGAAGAAGCTCTTGACTTCCAACTGGCCCAGCTCTGGCTATTGCACCTGTTTTGGGAGATAACCAAGAGATGGAAGACCTCTCTCTGTCTCAGCCTCTCTCTGTCTGTAACTTTGTGTCTCAAGTAAATAAATACATCTTTTTAAAAAATTCAACTTGATTTTTTTTACATAAATTGACAAGGTGATCCTTAAACTCATGCGGAAATTCAAGAGACCTTAGTGTGAGGATTGACATCTCTTGATCTCAAACTTCATTATAATGACATAATAATCAATTCTTTATCATGCTGGCATAAAAACAAATGTGAATCTCTGGACTAAAATAGAGAAGTTAGAAATAATTCTTCATGCTTACGACCAGATTTTTGTTTATTTTATTTATTTTTTATTTTTGACAGAGTGGACAGTGAGAGAGAGAGACAGAGAGAAAGGTCTTCCTTTTGCCGTTGGTTCACCCTCCAATGGCCGCCACGGCTGGCACGCTGCTGCCGGCGCACCGCGCTGATCTGAAGACAGGAGCCAGGTACTTACCCTGGTCTCCCATGGGGTGCAGGGCCCAACACTTGGGCCATCCTCCACTGCACTCCCTGGCCACAGCAGAGAGCTGGCCTGGAAGAGGGGCAACCGGGACAGAATCCAGTGCCCCAACCGGGACTAGAACCCGGTGTGCCGGAGCCACAAGGTGGAGGATTAGCCTATTGAGCCGCGGCGCCGGCCTACGACCAGATTTTTGACAAAGGTACCAAGGCAATTCAGTGGGGGTTAAGAGCAATCTTGGTGGAGGTGGAGAGGACAGAAAGGTGAAGTGACAGAGTGACTATCTGCTCAATCACTTCCAAATACCCACAATGACCAGGCCTGCCCATGTCAAAGTCGGGAGCTCGCAACTCAACCCAGATCCCTCACACGTGGGTGGCAGAAATCTAATTACTCGAGCCCTCACCACTGCATTCCAGGGCCCACATTAGCAGAAGACCAAAATCCCAACCTGGAGTCAGTGATCAAATTCAGATATTCTCATGTGGAACACAGGCATCCAACTGCTAGATTAAAAGGCTTACCCCAAAACAGCAATCTTTTAACAAATGAGACAAGGACAACTGAATATATAAAAACTCAAAATGTGCAGACCTAAATGTAAGATCAAAACCCATCAAAACTCTGAAAAACTGAATCTTCACTTCTATAGATTGGCAATATTATCTTAGATATGATACCAAAAGCATAAGGAAAAAAATGGTAAGAGATAAATTGGTTGTCAACAAATATAATTTTTGTTTCAAATAATACCACCTCCAAGTATAAAAATAACCCCCTAAAATGGTAAAAAATACTTTCAAATCATATGATCCAAATCAAGATAGTTGTAAGACTTGAATAAACATTTCTCCAAAGATAGTAAAATGACAGTACATTAAAAGATGCTCAGTAACATTGATCAATAAGGAAATGCAAATGGAAAGCACAAGAAACCACTTTGTGCCCACAAAAACATCTATAATCAAAAAGATAATGACTCATGTTGAAGATGTAGAAAAAATGGAATACTCAGAATTTGCTGGTGAGCACGACAAATGGTGCAGAAACTTAAGAAAGAAGGTAGTTATTCAAAATATTAACATTTATCCTGTGACTCTGTAGTGGCTACTTTTAAAGTAAATGATCTGAGATTCCACTTTATAGTGCACAAGATTTTCTATATTTAAGCATATACCTAAAGTCAAAGCGTTACTAATTCCACCAAATGCTACAGGCTTTTACACACATGTGCAATCATATCTGACAAAGTGCTGCTAAATTCCATAGGAATAAAGTCTCATTCCCTCTTGATTAATATTATCCCTAGAATTTGCACTGTTTGTTGTTGTTTAGCCTATTTGAACATGTTATTTGATATCTCCTTATACAACCAATGAGTATTTATATCCATAAAATGTGGCACTAAATTTTAGCATATAAAATAGATTGATGGTTGTGTCATCTTTCCTTTGTCTAGCACAAACCTATTTTTCACTGCATTTGAGCCCTTGAACAAAAAAGCAGCTTTAGTGAGCACACTGAAGGTATTTCCTGCACGGACCCAAATTTCTCTGCTGCCTCCCCTCTGGTCCAGTTGGAGATTATTTCTGGTGGAACATATTTGCTCTTTTCCTCAGTTGACACCAGGCACTCTCCCTTTTCTGCGCAGTCTCTCCTCTCCTCTCCGCTTCTCACCCCCTGCTTCTCTGGCTTGTTGTTCTCCAGTTTTCAACATCCTACCATATCCAACTTAAAGTCACTAAGTAGAGAACTTTGCTTATTTCCCCATCAAAATGTATTTGTATTTTTTCTATGCTCCAAGTGACTAAAATTGGAAAATCTAACCTTTGGTGGATTTACCATGTGGCAAGCTGTAATGTCTGATGCCACACAAACCACCTCATCTAATCCCCCTAGCATTTCAGATAGTCAAAGTTCTCTTAACCCCAATTTTGCAGAGGAAAATAAGATTCAGAAATGCTAAGAACGTGCACCTCATATGAGGTAAAGCTGAGATTTAAGCCTGGCCAATGGTCTCCAGAGCCAGTACTGGGTACCTAACCTGATCTCACATGGCAGCATCATACTTACATTAAAGCTACAAATTTCTGATCTCTGTGGGATCCCAGCAGAAAGAACAGGCCATCAAAGAAATACCTTTCTCTGAAGGGAGGAGAGAACTTCCACTTTGACCATGGCCTTGTCTAAATAAGAGCAGAGTTGGTGAACTCAAGAGGCTCCCATGGCCTTGGCAGCTCATGACAAGAGCCTCAGGTGATTACTGACGTCATAAACAAGTGTCAATTGTTAAATCAACAAAGGGAGTCACTGTGCACTTACTTCCCATGTAGGATCTCTGTCCTTAATGTGTTGTACTATGTGAATTAATGGTACAACTAGTACTCAAATAGTACTTTATACTTTGTGTATCTGTGTGGGTGCAAACTGTTGAAATCTTTACTTAGTATATACTAAATTGATCTTCTGTATATAAAGATAATTGAAAATGAATCTTGAAGAATGGAATGGGAGAGGGAGTGGGAGATGGGATGGTTGTGGGTGGGAGGGAGGTTATGGGGGGAAGAGTCGCTATAATTGAAAAGTTATACTTTGCAAAATTATATTTATTAAATAAAAGTTGAGAAAAAAGAAGAAAAGTTACAAATTTCTGGACCTTCTCTCATTTGATTGTGAATGCTTCGTGGGGAAAATTTAGGAGAGGTAAGTTCATCTCATTCTTCATTCTAACTTTTCAAACCCTGGCACAACGGTTTGGGCATACTGGTGTTCATTTCATATTTGTGGAATTAAATTATAATAGTGTTCCTATGGGAAATTATAACCAGCTTTAGGATAATGCTTCATGATATTTGTCCAGAAATGTCTTGTGGCCAAAAGACTAGACTGCTATGAGTATGTTATTCACCCACTCATTATTAGCTAGAAAGATCTCCATCTTACCCACACATTTGCCATACCACTCACTTGAAAAGAGGCTATCTGTCAGATCACTAGATGAAAGGATCAAATAATCATTAAAACTGTTATGAACATAGTATTCTAAGTGTTTTATATACTTATCATTCCATGTATAAAACAAGCCTATGAAGTCCGCACTGTCATTTGTTTCATTTTTATTGTTTTTAAATGATCCTCTTCCCCTGATTAAATTTTTTTGACAGGCAGAGTGGACAGTGAGAGAGAGAGAGACAGAGAGTAAAGGTCTTCCTTTTGCCGTTGGTTCACCCTCCAATGGCCGCCACGGCTGGCGCACTGCAACTGGCACACCGCACTGATCCAAAGGCAGGAGCCAGGTGCTTCTCCTGGTCTCCCATGGGGTGCAGGGCCCAAGCACTTGGGCCATCCTCCACTGTACTCCCTGGCCATAGCAGAGAGCTGGCCTGGAAGAGGGGCAACCGGGACAGAATCCGGCGCCCCGACCGGGACTAGAACCTGGTGTGCCGGCACCGCTAGGCGGAGGATTAGCCTATTGAGCCATGGCACCAGCCATTAATTTATTTTTAATGTTTAACATTTTTACCTTATCTTCAGTTATTTGAAAGACAAGGAGGGAAGCAGGGATCTTCCATACACTAGTTCATTCCAAAATGCCTCCAACAATAGATCCAGGAGCCCAGAACTCAGCCAGGTCACCCATGTGGGTAGAAGGTACCCAGACACTTGAGCCACTATCTGCTGCTTCCTAGGTGTCCACCAGCAGGAATCCAGAATAGGAAGTGGATCCAGGATGAGGGGAAAGCAATCTGTGCAAAGTCACAGAGCTGGGAAGAAGATTCAATCCCTGGTACATGACTGCAGAACTCAGGCACTAGAACAGCTCCCTACACTCCCTACCACAACAGGTCATGGGGCCCCACATGAAGATGGTGGTGAGCAGGACCCTCTCTCTGCTCCCTGCAACATCTCCAAAGCCTGTGCAGCCTGAGCACCCCTCAGGCCCAGCCAACATTTCATCTGAACAAGTCTTACTTATTTGCACATAGAAAGCAACATTTTCATTTTTTTAGTTTTTTCTTTCTGTGGCAAACCTGGATGTTTCTCCAAAAAATAGCTAGGAACATACTGATGAAGTCAATTCCATTTCTGAGAATGGAGTCACGGTTGGTATTATTCACCGGGCATGCCTCCCCACCTCCCCTCAAGTGGGTTAATGGATCTCACAGACGGCATTTTAGGCTGAAGGGTGTTCTTCACATGGAGGAAGCAGGTTGCTGTGCTGTGCTATGGTGAACTGTGTTGTGCTAACCTGGGTTGTGCTGTGCTGTCTTGTCTAATTTTAACTGGTGTTACTAACATCATAAAAAAGAGATTTCATTATGGTAAGAAGTGCCTTCTTGGTCATTTCAAAGTAATTATGGAAGTTTGTTTTCCATCATTGAGAATTTCAAGTTATGAGTGTCAGTAAAAGCCTTAGAACCTGAGTGTTGTTACTGGCCATAAAAATATCTTCATTTGTCTTTATTTCATTCTTTTTTTTTTACTTCAGTTCTTCCTTCTTGAACATTCAGAATAATTTGTACTACTAACCCTAAATGTTTAATATTTTATTTGAGAGGTAGAGTTACAGACAGTGAGAGAAAGAGACAGAAAGGTCTTCCTTCCATTGATTCACTCCCCAAATGGCCGAAACAGCAGGAGCTGAACCTATCCAAAGCCAGAATCCAGGTGCCTCTTCTTGGTCTCCCACATGGGTGCAGGGGCCCAAGGACTTGGGCCATCTTCTACTGCTTTCCGAGGCCATAACAGAGAACAGGATTGGAAGAGGAGCAGCCAGCACATGAACCAGTGCCCATATGGGATACCGGCACTGCAGGCAGAGGATTAACCTACTGTGCTACAGCGCCGGCCCCTACTAACCCTAAATTAACAAGACCTCTAGCCAACACTCTCCAACATATTTGATAACAAGTGATGCAGCTTTCAGAACATCTTGCTTTCTGGGCTTTCCCTCTAGACTTGAAACAACAGCTTCAGGGGCTGGCGCTTGGCATGGCAGGTAAAGCCACTGCTTGCTGTGCTGGCATCCCATATGGGTGCTGGTTCAAGTCCCGGCTACTCCGCTTCCCATCCAGCTCTCTGCTATAGCCTGGGAAAGCAGTAGAAGATGGCCCAAGTCCTTGGGCCCCTGCACCTGCGTGGGAAACCTGGAAGAAGCCCCTGGCTCCTGGCTTCAAATAGGCACAACTCCGGTCGTTGCAGCCAATTGGGGAGTGAACCAGTGGTTGTAAGACCTCACTTTCTCTCTCTCTGCCTCTCCTTCTCTCTGTGTGCAACTCTTTCAAATAAATAAATCGATCTTAAAAAGGGTGGGGTGGGGGGATGGGAGACAAACAGCTTCCACGGAAAGGAAAGGGTTTTTGTACAGGAAAAACATCTCAGGCCTGCCTGTGCAATATTATCCCAAGAATGAGCTCCTGGAGGGGAGATTCTCAAATGTGTTCTATTTGCAACACAAATCCTCTGACCTTTCCATTGATTGTTTAATAATTATGCTAGCATTTTTTCTGCTTAATTAAATGGGAAAAACATTTTAAGGCTTGTTCAGTCAATATTAACTCACATGCATATCAATTTGAAAATCTTATTTAAATAATATTTTCACAAGGATGATTCTTAAAGTAAGCAAAGCTTATCTGGGAAAACTCAGCCTTACCAGTGTGGTTTCTCCATTGTTTCCATTTTCCTTGTATCTATTGGGATTCTGAAAGTGGACATCCCATCTAGTGTAGGCCATTTCCACTTCCTTGGTAAGGAAGATGGGGCTGACGGAGGATTGTGACTTCATTAAGGTTCAAGAACTACAGGAAAGGCTCACTCAGCCCTCTGTGAGTATGCCAGAGAATCCACACCACTGGAGGGAAACAAAGGAAAGTAGTAACTGGACAATGAAATTTTGTTTGTTATTTCTATCCTGTCCCTTTGTATTTTCAATGCTCCACTTTGCTTTCTATTCTAAATCTTTAAAAGTTATCTCTGATTAAAATCCAGTGAAAAACTCAACAAGTGGCAAGTGTAGAATGACACAAACGTCTGGTTATTAGAAAGAGCTACAACTCCACTTGTTTCAAACCTGAGTCTGAACAAAGGATGTCTACCTCCAGGATTAAACTAAGACAACATGGTAAGGCCAGGCTGGGGCCCAATTCTGTTAAAACCTACAACTCTGAGTCATTATCCTCACAGTCGCTAAACACTTTCTTCCAAGCCTAGCTCCATTAACACCAATGGGTCCAGTTACAACAGTCAGAACCCGACAGGGGCTGAACAAATGTATGACAGGCTTAAAAAGTTCATGGAAAATGGAACTGAAAGATTGGTTTGTACCAAAATTGATCTTCCTGAAATCCATGTATATTGTTTTCATGATGCACATTCACCATGAACATTTTGAAGACTCTTGGCATTTGGGCAGAGGTTACAATGGGATTACATTTACATTTCAAATCCAGCCTTTAACCATGGAAGTCAAAGAAATTAACAATGTAAAATATCTAGGGTAGAATTTCCCCCAATGAATTAATTATAATCATCAAAATCTATTCTTTCAAATCCTTTTATGTATGCCACTTCATTTACCCTGCAAAATAATTGAGGTATTTAGTAATAATAATGCTAGTTGCAATAATTTTTAAGACAATGTTGCTGGGGCTGGCTTTGTGACATAGCAGGTTAAGCCGCTACCTGTGATGCTGACATTCCATAGGAGTGCAGGTTTGAGTCCCAGCTGCTCCACTTCCAATCTAGCTCCGGGTTATGCACCTGGGAAAGCAAAAGAAGATTGTCCAAATGCCTGGGCCCCTGCAACCCATGTAGAAGACCCAGATGGAGTTCCGGGCTCCTGGAATCATCCTGATCTAGCCCTGGTCATAGTGGCCATTTGAGGAGTGAACCAGCAGATAAAAAAAAAAAAAAAAAAAAAAAAAAAAACACACATGTCTCTGTGTCTTTCCCTCTTTTTCTCTGTAACTATTTCAAATAAATAAATAGAGAGAGGGAGGGAGGGAAGAAGGGAAGGAGGGAAGACGATGAAGCTTCCTCAGGAAAGGTGTAATGATTTTTCTCAAGGTCATTAACAATTCAGGCCCAAGACACTGACATCAAGTCAAGATCAGCCTACCACCATTGAGACTGCCCTGTACAGACAATGTCCCTTGGATGTCACTGTATTTGTGGTACTTTATGTCATGAACATTGCCCACAGCTTTCAAGGCCTTGGCAGCTCTGTAGCATCAACAAGAC